GGTCTTATTTTTTATTATCTCTTCGACCCTGCCCTCATCCTACTTTACCACTCTCCCCGTGTACCTTCGCCGGTCACTTTAAAATTAACACTAGGCCTTAGAACCCTTCGTGTTATTATTAGTGCTTCTTAACAACGTTAACGTGATAGCTAGCTATCTTTCTTAACATGGCTAGCTTGACTAAATGTCTACTTAGCTTACCAAGTAAGAGTGGGATTTCTATTACTTTTTAAGGACGTCGAGAGCCAGCTAGATAAATGTCACAACCCACAAGGAGCCAGGAAGGGAACTTCAGGTACACAGCAAAGATGCAACTAACCAGAACAGTGCTCTGCGGATCGCGGGCGCTCTGCACATAGCAGGGCCCAGATCACAGAGCCAGGTGCTCCTCCGCTCTGTCAGCCCTGTAGGAGAGTAACAGAGCATGGAGAGCTAAGATACAAGTAACTTATAATCCCTCCCTGTTTTGATAGCATAAGTAGCTAACGTGTTAGATACCTTGGGGCGTGAGGATTCCTATTCCCCACGTAAGCAATTACGCAATGCCAGTGGGAAGAGATCATACTACCCCACCAGCTTGAGGATACATCAGACTCGGAAGCGTTCCCGACAAATGCCGGTACCGGATTCTCCTGGCCCAGCTTGGGCATTATCAGGGCCCGAGGCCGGCGCAGGGATCTTATGGTCATGCTATCATCAAAGCGCCAGAGCACCGTCCCCTTGATTGAAAGCTTCCCACGGATTCAATTCCTTCACCATTCCCAGGGGTGGAAGCTCGCGGCCGCTGTGGATGCGGAGAGCTTATACGCTCTCAGTCTAGACCGTGGGCGCATTAACGACGAGGACCTGCTGGTCTTTTGGTTGAGATTTAGGGTGTGTGCATAAAGGAATCCATCGACGTCACAGAAGCCGAAGTGGTTGTGACGCTTTGGGTAGAGAGAGAATTGCCTCCTCGGTGCCGCATTGCTCTGCAAACCGCGCAGGGGGAGACATTGGGAGGAGTGACTAATACCGACGATTGGAGAGTGGATGATGTCGGCAGTGAAAACTATACCACCTCGTGCGACAGGGCATATTGCCAGCTTCCCAACAACAGCGGCGTCATTGCTGCGATGGTGAAGGGTTGTCGGGAACCACCGCGTGGGGTGGACCCAATAACGCAGAGGCGGAATCCGACCTTCTGTACATTGTATATCGCACACCTTGGTAATGGGTTGGATCAGCTCCGAGGGTTGAGTGACGGGGCACGTGCGGAGGTGATTAGGATGATTGGGATACAGGGGGTGGCCGGGAGCCAGATAATGAGTGGAGCCGAAGAGTCGGGTGAGGATTCCTCTATGGAAGCCGACAGCTCCTAGGTACCAGGGGTTATGAACTTGATTGTTGACCCGTCAGCAACGATGACGCCAACCCCGCCAGCCCTGATGCGGGTTTGGCCATTCACCTGCCCCCAGTACTGTCCTGTGACGCTGGCTTTGGGTGATCCTCTGGGAGCAAATGAGCCAGAACTAGGCTGCTCGCCAAGTCCTTTTGAGAGTTTGACAGCCCCGGAGCCGGTCCGGGCACTGAATGCGGCGCGGATGCGGTCGGTTTTCGTATTTCCCAGGCTGTAAACTCGGAGGACATTGGGCGTGGGAGGACTCTATAGGCGCGAAGGGGTGAAGTAATCGACTTGGTGCGTTCAGCCCCGAATGGGAATAAATAAGTAACAGGAGGATATAGGTTACCAGCACGGGCTTCTTCTGCTTCCGTAAAAAGCTAAGGAACCCTAGGTTCCTCGATTCTATAGAGTTCAAAAGGCTCTTATTTTATGGGAGCCGTTTCCGACGAGTATACTAGGACGGATTATCCCGTCTTAGTACTTCAGGAGAGCGAGAAGTTTGACCTCAGGCCCTTGACAACGGGAGAAGAACACCAGCCAGCCAGACCTCTCATTGCTGCCGGTGAACTAATAGTAGCGTCTTAGAAATGCAGCGGGATGGTGGTGAGAAGTTGGAGGCCTAACAGGCAAGTCGGCGCAGTGCAGCTCCGTGCGTTGCGGTGGTGCCGGGTAACGGATGTTGTCTCGTTGTGTGATGGAAAGACGGTAGGAAATGGTTACTTGTGTGGAGCAGGAGGTGGCCCGAGCATGGCTTCTTTGCCTTGCCTGCCGAGGATGTCAGTTCTGTCCCAGACACATTCACTAAAACAAATGTAGACGCGGAGGCGGTTGAGCCCTGCTGGAGTAACCGTGGCCTACCCCCCTAAACAGAACTCGATCTGTCGAGTGGTTTCTTCAAGCGGCATGGTGATTTTAGTAAGCCCGAGCCGGGCCTGTTAAGTCATGGAAAGAAGTCACCCAAGACGAATGGGCAATCTGCACCTTCCAGCGTATCATCTCACCATCACTAGTCAAGAGGCACACAGTGCGAAAGCTCACCGCATTCCACGTTGCGTCTGCACTCCCTCTATAACGGGTTACCGTTTTAGCCTCCTCCGTCACTTAATAAAGTTCTTAGTTTAACCTTAACCGTTAACAGGTTATATAACTTTGTAAAATAAAATAAAAAGACCAAGATTTGGTCTCGGTCAGTAAGGGGGGGCCGGTCTTTTCGGTTTTAGTTGTATCCCATTTTGCAGCCTTTGTATCCAGTTTTCTGGACCCCCGAGCTTCCTTATCCGGCATACTTTGCACATAAGAGAAGGACTCATTGGAATACTCTGGATCCCGTCCGCTCTCCCATAGATAAGCCAGTGAGGGCCAAACTAGTAATTGGGTCATGACGACTGGCGAAATCCCTGTGTGTTGTATGTTTCTTTGCACCTATCCTTTAATGCCGATCCAATGCGAGAATTCGTGTCTTGATTGGATGCACATCTTTGCATCCCATTGGTTCCATGTCGATTTTACTCGAGGAAGGTGCAGCCAACGGCATGCCAAGAGCACGCCAAAGGCAAATCCTTTCGCGACTGGCGACGAGCCGAAGACCGAAGCTGGCAGCGACCACCGTCCCGGCGGAGCTCCTCCGTCTCGTCCGCCGGCACAGCAAAAAGGTATTAGAAATAGAGCCAGATATTACCAAAATGACTGAGAAAAGAAGAAAGAAAAAAAAAAAAGATGTATTTCCACTCGCCTGCTGAGCATCAAACATGACCGGCATCCGGCGGACCCTCGCGCCCCGCCTCGGTGTTCTTGGGCCGGGGAAACACCCAGCACGGCAACATCTCTCAACAACCCCCCCCCCCCCCCCCCCCCGCACGACAGACCTCTCCTCGGAGTATATAGTGGCCAGTGAACGCCCGCGGCTTCTCGTCTCATCTCGCTCCTCATCCTCCAACTATCCCCCATTGCGCCAATAAAAGAAGCCACAAGTTGACATATTTGCTGTAGCCGACCATGTCTGACCCCAACACCCGCCAGATTCTAGACTGCTGCCTCAAGGGTTTCGAATGGGACGGCACCCCGACCGGCACCGTGCTGACACTGCCGGGCGTCGGTAACCCGGCCTACGTGACTGGCTACAACCCGTCGCGGGCCATCTTCCTCATCCACGACCTGTTCGGCTGGACCTTCCCCAACACGCGGCTGCTGGCCGACCACTACGCCCGCGAGGCCAATGCGACCGTCTATGTGCCCGACTTCTTCGGCGGTGATGTCATCGAGTGGGAGCCCGTCATCAACGAGCGCTGGGAGGAGGTCAACGCCCCCAAGTTCATCGCGCCCCACACGCGCGAGATTCGCGAGCCCGAGATCTTTGCCTACGCCAAGGCCCTGCGCGACAAGTACGCCAAGGTCGGCGCCATCGGCTTCTGCTACGGCGGCTGGGCCGTCTTCCGCCTCGGGTCCAAGGACAACGCCGGCGCTTGTGGCGGAAAGGGGCTCGTCGACTGTGTTGTGGCCGGCCATCCCACTTTTCTCACCGAGAAGGACATCGACGAGGTCGCAGTGCCGGTGCAGATGCTGGCCCCTGAGATTGACGCCGCCTACACGGCCGAGCTCAAGGCCTACACGTTTACGAGCTTGCAGAAGAGCGGCAATGCCTTCGACTATCAGCACTTCCCGCGTGCGGTGCATGCCTGCTTTGTGAGAGGCGATCCCCGGAAGAAGGGCGAGCGGGAGGCCATGGTGCGCGGCAAGAATGCTGCCGTTGGCTGGTTCAACCAGTGGTTCCGGGACGAATAGCTCTATTCATAAACGCTACCTTGAAATAGATGTAGTACCTCGGCAAATAGCCACTCTCACTCCTCTTGCCCCCAAGTCTACGGGTCGGTGCCGCCCCTCAGCCAGCAGCAGCCCGAGTGCCGTACAGCTCCCGAGCGGCATCCTTGCTGATGGGTTTATTCCGTGCCGCATCCTGGGTATCGCTGCCACCGAGATCCTCGATAACGCCTTTGCTGTGCTTCTTTGACTGCTCGCTCGTGTCTGGATTCACGTCCGTTGAGTTGGCATGGCGGAAAAGGGGGCACAAGCTCGGGGCGGAGTACATACTCGGGTTAGAGAGGTTGGCCTTGTGGCCCCTGATCACGTTCGTGATTTCCTCCTTTCCTTCATTGATCTCCTTCATGTCGTTGGACATGGCTGATTTGGCACCGGCCGAGTCCATTGGAAGGCCTGTGGAAGCTGACATGTTGAAAAATAAGTTGGTCGGGTATATTCAAGTTGCTTTGGGGCAAACGAGCAGAGATCTACTTTGAGCGCGACGAAAATCCAAGAACTTTACTCAGCTAATTCAGCTCAAATACTTTCCGGGAGCAATGACGTGTACAGTGTCACGAAGCTGTCAAACAAGCATCTTTTGTCACCAACTCGCCGCATATTCCCTGCAAAATCCTGTTTTGCCAATACGACTTCGATTGCTCCAATAACTCAACAAATGAGCACCGTCGACTTGCGTCATTCGTCTTGGCAACCAGTTACACGATCAATGCAAGGGCTAATCGAGATGCACCCAGCCCACAAAACCGAGTCGACTTTGAGACGAAGAGGCGGAACTTGAACAGCAAAACACCTCCTAAGAGGCAAACCCTGGTAGGAATCGAACCTGCGTCATTTCAGGGCTGCAAATCAAATAACCACAATGAAGTATACTGACCACTATACTATAATCCCTTTTCCGATGACAGCGGGGTGACAGCGGGAGCTTATTGAGGAATCAAGTGCGGGTGTGTAGCCATTGCAGTGGATTTACCATGTCAGGGGCGCCTACGTAAGTGGAGATGAAGGCATTCCGAAGCTCTCAAGTTGTGGATCAAGGCGGGAATGGTACTACGTGTAGTCAATCTTGTAACCGAGGAGCCACAGCCATCATGATACTGAGCCCACATTATCATGCTTAGCCTTGCTACGGGGTGCGCACTGCCGCCGCCCTGTAGTGCTCTGTGGCGAGGGGAGGGGGGATACAAGGGAGTTGGAAGGACCACCGACGTCGAGGGTCTAAAGATGAGCCTTAAAGTACTTTGAGCAGTGGGGATAATTCGGCGAAGACGGTAGGTATTTTGTGTCAGCCAAAGGCATCTGATAATAATAACGGTGCCGTAATAACGGAGGCGGTATGTCAGCTCCAAATACGGTAATACCTATGAGATCATTGATGGTTTCCTCATCCTATATTACACCACATCACCATTTTGCCCTACAGACGAGTGCGACCGACAGGTACACAAACATGCTCCCAAGACGGCGTTATCAAGATCCGAGTCTCGTGTGAGCCCCGGTCCTCCAACGTGTCAAAGTGGGTGCGTCGCAAGTTGCTCCCTCCAACTGTCGCAGCAGTAGGCTGAACGGCCATGAAGTAGCTGGCGCGTACCTTTCTTTCGCACCCGTTTGTAGCTACGGCTGTCAACGTCAGCAGCGAGGGGCTTGCATTTACGTGGCAGCTGACAAACACTGCACGATGGCAGCTATTTTGAGGAGGAGGCGCCGGAGGGAATTCAGCACTGACGCAGGAGCGGCGCGTGAGAGCTGTGCAAATGGACCAAGTGTGACGTTTGTGCAACGCCAGAGTGCCAATAAGGAAGGGGTCGTGGATGCAAAGTTAGGGGTGCTGGAACACAACAGGAACCGAAACAAAAATAGATGACCAAACACAAGCAAACCTCGTCGTCTGCTAGGGGAGGTTGAGCTTCAGCTTGTCCCCTGTTCCAGATTCCGCTTCGTATACCTTCCCTCTTTCAGCGTGGCTGTCGGTTAGCCGTTTGCACGGCCAAGGAAAGCAATATCAAACAACCAAAACATGTGAAGAGAAAAAGGGGCTCAATTACACAGCTAGTCCAACTAAATATTCCAGTTGAGGCAAGAAGACAAGGCGGGCAGGACCCGAAATCACGCGGGCTGTGTGATGGGCAAAAAAAGTATTCAATTATGTATAATTCTCGAGCGACCGAAATCAGCCGAGTGGTATCCTTGGTTTCACAATTGCAAAAATACACCTCCGTAACCGACAAGCGCAGGAAAAAGACAGTGTCGCGGGTACCCATGTTTTGCCGCGGCGTTTAGACATGCTTCTCTCCGCTCTCGCCCTTCAGGCTGTGGGAGCTGCCTGGGGCGGTCGACGTGGGAATGGCGTGGCTGAGCTGGCGGGTAAGCTCCACGTAGTCGTAGGCGAATTCGCCGAGCTGGCCATCATCGAGACCAAGCTCCTCCTCGTCGGCGCTAACGCGGAGCGAGAGACCAGGGATGAGGTTGAGCAGGAAGAGGATGACGCAGGTTACGCCAAACGAGTAAGAGAAACCGGCGACGCTGTCGGCCAGCTGGTAGCCAAGCTGCACGTAGTTGTGGTTGACCCAGCCACCGGGGATTACGGTGGCGCCATCGAGATGAGCAATGTAGTCGCTATTCAACCAGGTCAGCTGTGCGCCTCGAGATCATGGGCCGAAGGGGTGGGGGACATACGCAGCGAAGAGACCAGTCATGAGGTTGCCAGCGACACCGCCAATGGCGTGCTCAGCGAATACATCGAGGGCCTCATCAATGCCAAGGAGGAACTTGAGCTTGGTGGCAAAATTGCAAACAATGCCACCAACGATACCGAAGATGACAGCCGACCAAGGGGGAACGTAGCCAGCAGCGGGGGTGATGGCAACAAGGCCGGCAATAACGCCGGAGCAGAAGCCAACAGTGCTCCACTTCTTCTCCAGGCGGTAATCGAGCAGCATCCAGGTGAAGCCACCAGTACAGGCGGCAATGTGGGTGACAACGCAAGCCATGACAGCGCGCAAGTTGGCGGCAAGGGCGCTGCCACCGTTGAAACCGAACCAGCCGACCCAGAGGAAGACAGTTCCGAGAACGACGTGGGTGACGTTGTGGGGACGGTAGGGGAGGCCATGGACCTTGCTGTAGCCGGTCCGCTTTCCGAGCATCAGGGCGTATGCGAGGGCAGCAGCGCCTGAGCTAATGTGCACGGGAGTGCCGCCGGCGAAGTCGAGGCCACCCATTTTGAAAGACCAGCCATTGGCGTTCCAGGTCCAGTAGGCGATCGGGTCATACACAATGGTAGTCCAGATAAAGATGAAGACGATGGCAGGGAGCATGCGGCCGCGATCAGCAGCAGCACCAATGGCGAGAGCGGGGCTGTTGTGAATCAAGTGTCAGCGCGCGCACCTGGGCTGGTCAGGAAGTAGGGCAGCATACGTAATGGCAGCGAACATGCCCTGGTATAGGCAGAAGAGAATGTCGGGGACCTTGGTGCCGCCAACGCTGGGCTGGCCGAGCACATCCTTGAGGCCGAAGTTGCTGAGGTCTCCAATGTAGGCGCTCCCGGTGTGGGAGAAGGTGAGAGAGTAGCCCCAGAAGAACCACTGGAACCCCACCACGGATATCGATGCCAGCGACAGGTAGATCAGCGAGAGCGCCGACTTGCGGCGTGCAAGACCGCTGTAGAAGAAGCCGACACCGGGAACCATGAGCAGCACGAGGGCCGACGAGGTCATGATCCAGGCAAAGTCGCCATTCTGCGGGGTGTAAGTGTTAGCGCTTCTGCCTGTGGCTCGGCCCCCCCCCCCCCTCCCGCTGTGCGGGTGTCTCGCGCTCAGCAATGGACGGGCGCAGCATACCGAGTAGTAGATGTTGAGGTCCTCGGTGAGCGAGTCGCCTCCGGCGTCGGCGACACCAGCGGTGCCATTGTACACCTCCGAAACTCCTGCCGACATGGTGAGGGGCTGTTCGCGACGAGTCGAGTCGACGATCGATTCTAGGGGTCTTAGGGAAGGCCTTGAACGAAGGCACAAGGAAAGGACTGAACCCAAGGTTGCACGGAAAAGAAAGTTTTGAGACGCGGCGGACGGGGGAGCAGTAGGGTAAATAACCACAAAGAAACCGAAACCCCCGGCAGGTCTCAACGTCGTGGCCAGCGCCAGCTTCACCTGCCTGGCCAGGGCAGTCTCGCACAGCTGCAACCCTGCCCGCACAGCTTGGGCCATGCCAAGCTCAGTCCAGCCTGAGGCAAGCCTGTGCCGCTTAGTGTCGCAGGACCCAGCGTAATACCGATAAGACAGAGTCGTTATTGTCGGCGACCAAGGCGCCTCCATTCCGTTCCGGGCAGCCTTCGCTTGTCTGCCTTGAGCCGGGGCCGCTGATTGGCCCACTCTCAAAGATAAGGAATTCCTGGGCGGCCAGGGAAACGGTGGGGGGTCAAACGCGGGCCTTCAAGCACCTCCAAGAATCCTCCAAACAGACCCCAGTTTGCCCAGCAACCCCCAGCACTGCTAGCCTTGGCATTCCGATGTCCTGGATCGAGTCGCCTCAGCGCGCTAGAGTGGGGACAATGAGGGGAGGAGCATCACGAGATGGCGACGGCCAGAGCGGGCAGACTGCGGTACGTGTCCTAGCCCTCTCCCGCGGGAGATCGGCTGGGCCCCGACGGCTGGGCTCTTCACCAGACCCAGGACACGGCGCCTCGAGCTCCACCGCTACGGACCTGAGATGGATACCTGCGCAAACCCAAACGCAGTGGTTGCACCGACCGCTGGCCTCGCGCCAGAACTGGCATGTCCAGGCTGTCGCAGATGAAACGGGAAATCCAAAGATCCCGAAAGGGGACACTCTGGCCGGCAGTCATGCAGCTCGAGAGATTAGCCAAGGAACCAATCGTCTCTCTTCGCACTGCTCGCTCCCCAGGCGGACTCCCCCTCGAGAAAATAAGAAAGCCGAAAGGATCATTCATTTTTGCTTTGGTGTGGAGGGAAGGATTTGTTTCCGCCGCACTCGCTGTGGCATCGGCATCTGTTCCGTCCATCTGATCAGGTCTGTGCAGCGCTGCATCTCTCTTTCCTTCTCCAGCTGGCCATACCTTTCCCTAACCCCAGCCTACCTACACTACTACCTAGGGACCAAAACGACCCGACCCCAGGCCCAAGCTCCAAGCTTTCACACCCCATCCCCCCATCCCGCCTGCAGGGCTTCCTGCCGCTGCAGGGTAACGTGCAGCTGTGACTTTCCTGGGGCTTGCCCTGGTCAATATAATAATAAATTAATATTTGCAAAGGAAAAATCCCCTAGCAAATACCGTTCCTGCTTGGCGTTTAGCAAGGTCCAGTCGCAAAATGCGTTTCGTTGCATGTTACTACCCTAAGGCGGTACCGTTTGCTCTGCTTCCCAAACGGCAGGCGTCAAGGATGCAGATGGATGCAGGGGAACAGCTCATTGCCTTTGTCTGGTTCGCCGCCTCGCAAGTTACCCAGCTTGAGTGTGATCCAAAATAGGAAAGGAGCACATGCATCTCAACCATCAAAGTCAAACGCCACCAGAGACGATGAGTTTGCGCCATGGCTGGGGGGGGGAAGGGGGCGCTTTGAAAGGGGCGTTAACATTACACCTGGAGCTGACGGTAAGAACCTCTCACAAGGCTGGACGCCTCCTGTTCTCAAGATTCGCTTCCGAGATCGAAAATGTTTTTGCATCCTCAGCAGGGCCTGGGAAATGTCGACATCTATTGCGCGAGCAAGACATGGCCAGGTTGAATTTGACGTATGACGTGGGTTGGGGGATCGCATACTAGCAGCGCCACCAATACGCCCTCCGATGTCGTTTGAGCGCCCAGCTTGTGCAAGCGCGTTAGCTCCCGAAGCCGATCACCCAACTGTCCAATCGAGCGAACCGAGAACTGAGCGCTG